TGGGGTATTCGAACCACCTGCCTCAGGCTTAGTAGCACAACTGCCTTTGGGTTGGCAGCACAATTATAGCCACTAGGTCATCAGCTACTAGGTCACCCTTATTAGTTCTTAAGAATTAATAAATAATTAAATTTGGTATAGATTCTTGTAATCACTAATATAAGCCAAAATTATTGTTTGATCTTTGCTTTCTAGAAACAGTAATAGTTTTCACTTTGTTGCACTCTAAGTGCCTTATACATCTGACTTGATCACATATACATATAACACATATAAAGATGCTGACAGGTAAATGCCAATAGACTAATGTCAGTAGGTCTGTGATCCTCATTCCCAGAAGTCTTTTATCTGTCTGGAAGTTTGAGCCACAATCTAACAATGTGCTGTCGGTGGTGTTGTGTGCTGTTGAGATTCCAACAGGTGTTCAGCAGTGGAACAACTGGTGGATTTGAACTGCGTGCCTTTGGGATTGCAGCGCAGCTTATCATTATGCCACCGAAGTTCCCTCTCTGTGCAGTGTAATGCAGTTAAACTACAGATAAGAATTACTTTCACCATTTTATAACAGTAATCATGCATATTAAGTATTGCTAATAGCAGGGTTTCAACAATATATATTAAATGTATCTATAAATGAATACAAGTGGAAAAAACCCTTGAGCTTCTGAGAGAGTAAATAGATTGCCCAAGTTCATATGATTTATCTCACTAAAATCATTACTGTTGAGCTCATAGCTGACCCTCCACCAGCTTTGCCAAGGCTATATCACATGAGAGATGATTGCTTATCTTTCTTTCATGGAGCCCCTGGTGGATTTCTGAATGGTCATAAACATACCACTGTTGGGTTGGCAGCACAACCCCTTTCAAAGTATGCCACAAGAGCTCAGAGGATTTGAAAATTAATCTGAACCTTAAGATATGGATAACTCTTAGACAGGAGAGAAGGGAGGGCATGCTAAGTATGAAGAATGGACAGGAGCAAAGGTACAGAAACAAAAGGAGAATGTTTATGAGAAATGGAGATGAAAAGTTTAAAGGGGACAGGGATATGCATAGACACACATTAGGGTGCATATTTTAGTGCCATTTGGTAACAACGATGTTCCTTGATGTCCAAGAGGAGTGTGGAATGATGCCATGATAATAAGCACAGTGACACAAGCAAAGAAATGTCAAATAAAGCCTTAAAATGGCAGCATTACATGGCATGGACTTGACAGACACTATCATTGATCTTGCTAGGTGCTGTCAATTCAACAGCTCTGTGTACCACAAACCAACCCTGCTCATTGTCTGTGTCATCTACACAAGTCCATCCTTATAGTCAGAGCCTCAACCCATCAGGGTCGTCTATTGGTTAGTTTTCCACTTTTTCATTTCCTTTTCCAGGCACTGCCCTCTCCTGGTAACATTCCCAAATTATGTAGCATGAAGGCTTACCATCCTCACTTACAAGGAACACTGTAGCCGCATTTTTTCCAAGGGAGATTTGCTTGTTCTTTGGCAGACCATGATACATTCAATACATCTAAAATATATCCAACTTTCTCTAATTTTTCTTAATCGTTTTTCATTTTTCATATACTTATGTTGTTCTTAGGTGCTGTCAAGTTGAGTACGACCCATAGCAACCTGACGAACAAGAGATATGAACTTTATCCTACACTGTTCCATCCTCACATGTCCTACACTAGAGCCGACTGTGACAGTCACAGCATTAGTTCACCTGCTTGAGGTCTTCCTCTCCTTCACCCACCCTCTGCCTTTCCAAGCATGACTGATGTTCCTCTCCAAGGAACAGTCTCTTCTGGCAACATGCCCGAAGTGTGTGAGGCAAAGCTTTATCATTTTTGCCTTCAAGGGACACTCTGGTTGCACTTTCTCCAAGGCATATTTGTCTGTTCCTTTTGTAGTCCATGGAGTGTCCAGTACTCTTCTCTAACACCACAGCACAAAGACATTGATGTCTTCTGTCATCCTTACTAATTGTCTAGCTTTCAGATGTGACAAATGATCAGAAAGACTATGGTCTGGATCAGATGCACTCTAGTTCTCAAACTGAAATCATTGCTCCTCAATAATTTGGAGAGGTCTCTATTTGCAGATTTTCCCAGTGCAATGTATCTCCTTATTTCCTAACTGTGGGTACCAAGGGTGTTAATTGTGGGTCCAAGTAAGAAAAAGTTGTTGACAGTTTCAATATTTTCTCCATCTACTATGATACTGCCTATTGGTCCAGTGGTAAGAATTTTTGTTTTCTTGGCATTGAGATGCAATCCATACTAAAGGCAGTAGTCTTTGATCTGGAACAAGTGCTTCAAGACTTCCTCATTTTCAGCAAGCAAAATAACGTCATCTTCACAATACAGGCTATTGATAAGTCTTCCTCTGATCTTGATCACATTCTTCTTCACAGAGTCTAGCTTCTCAAATAAGCTCAGTGTACAGATTGAGTAGATATGAAGAGAGAATGCAAGCCTGATACACTCCACTCTTCATTTAAACCATGTAGTGTTCCTTTGCTCTGCTCACACAACAGCCTCTTGGTCTAAGTACAGGTTTTGCATGAGCACAATTAAGTTTTCTGGAAATCCAGTTCTTCTCAATGTTAGCCATAACTTGTTATCCAATATAAATGATACTACTTGGTAAAAGATAGTATTTCCTATAGAGTTTGAGGTGACAGTGTCACTTCCAAATGAAGCTCTTCTCTCTAGATCAGTGAAACGACTGGACTAGGCAGTATTCTTTGATTTTTCTGCAACAAGTGCTTCAATAAGTCCTCCTCACTTTCAGCAAGCAAGATTGTGTTATCTGCATTTCACTGGTTATTGCTAAGCCTCCCTCCAATTCTGATGCCACACTCCTCTTCATAGAGTCTAACTTCTCATATAATTTGCTCAGCATATAGATTGAACAGGTATTGAGACAGAATCCCTGATGCACTCCCTTCCCAATTCCAAGCCAAGCAATGCTACCCTGCTCCTTTGGCACAACAGCCTTCTGGTCCAGGGATAGGTTCTTCATGAGCACAATTGCCTTTAATTACCTGTGTCTTTACAAATGTGATCTTTATTTGAGGTTTGATGTGATGATGATTATGATGATGATGATGATAATAATAATAATAAATTATGTACTACAACACTGTTAGGTAGTAAATGCAGTTCTCATAACTTCAATACAACATACAAGTTGTAAGTTATTTGTATAAGAAGTCAACTTTACTGGAAGACAGACTCAAGTTCAAGCTCTGGTTGTGATATTATACTTGAGTAAGTCACTCACATCTTTTAAGTATTAGTTACTCCACATTTAAAGCAAAAAGGTAGGAATCATTCAACAGTTTGAAAATAAAAAAATAAATGGCTTTTCAACCTGTAAAGTTATGCAGATTAATATATTATTATATCGTTAATATCCTAAGAATTGAGTAGGCATATTAAGCATTGTATTTTTTTAAGGCATTGTAAGATTTTAGCCTTCTCCCATGTACTACACAACAGATGATCTACTATTTCAAATAGACATAAAATATTATACAAAATAGGTGATGCTAGAGGACATTATGCTGAGTGAAATATCTCAGTCACAAAAGGACAAATATTACATAGGGCCACTGTTGTAAAAAGGACTTACATTGGGGTTGAGGGAAGACTTAGAAAGAGGGCATAAATAACGTATACTGCATTGAAACAGATGAGGGAGAGAACTGTTTAAAAGGAATATATGATTAGGTATTATTGTCATGACAGGAGTCCAGAATGAAGGCTGCACAATTGCACAATGGAGTGGACTTGGCGAGAGGGATTGTGTAACAATGAAAGAATTTTTCTTTTACTTTTCAAAAAGAAGAGCAAATTGGGGGGGGGGGCAGGGAGGAAAGTGCAACAATAAACGAATGGAAACCCTAAGTCTCAATAAACTTTCATTAAAATTAATTTAAAAAATCAGACACACACACACACACACAATAGAATATAAAGTTGTATCACATTTATAAAAAAAAAGGTCAGTTATGCTGCTGAAGTTGGTGTTTACTTAATTGTAGCAACGTGTTAAGTGGCAAATAAAGTAACAAACCAGATAATCTTGTTTCTAAAGTTCTGCATCATATCTGTATTTTTATAAGAAGTATCTTTAACATTGTCCATACTTATTCTATAGTATTATGTTTTCCAGCTTTAAAATTATATAATAATTACAAAATAAAATACTTTAAACACACTGATACACATTGTATACATCATTAGCTGTTGTTGTGTGTCAGTGAAATAGTTTGGTATTCATAATGACCCTATGTGCAACAGCTCTAAACTCTGCCCTATCCTAAATCAATCTCACTACTCCCATTGCTGCAGTTACCCCAGTCAATCTATCTCATCCAGGATCTTCCTTTTCTGTGCTGACCATCCACCCACCCTTCCTAGCCCGATGTTCTTCTCCAAGGACTGGTCTCTCACAGCAACATGTCCAAAGTATGTGAGATGTAACTTCAGAATCCTTGCCTCCAAAGAGCAACTTGGTTTCACCTTCTCTCGGACAGACCTGTTTGTTCTCCTTGCAGTCCATGGCATGTTTAATTCTCTATCACTGCAACTCAAAAGTATCAATTATTCTTCTTCTGTCATCCTTAGTCACTGTCCAGCTCTCTGATGCATAGCAAGTAATTGTGAAGACCATGGCCTGGATCAGGACCATCTTAGTCTCTAGTACATAAGAAGAACATGATTTAATCAGGTAAAACAATGTATTTTTTTTATTTTAATATCACTAAAATAAAATAAATTATACAACTTTTGGGAGATGGGGAGAAACACTGGCATTTAAATGCCTGAAGAAAGAGAATGCCAGTTTTCGGAGAAGTAGGAACAAGTTGGTTTTTTGTTGTTTTTTTTTTTTCAGTTCAATGAAAGAGACTTTATTGAGGGCCCAGGGTCATGGGCTCAGAAGAAGGCCACCTGCAAGAGGCAAGGGAGCCAGTGAAGAGCGGGCTCTTATTTGACCTTCTTCTTGGGGCGCAGGTTGTTGGTGTGCCCACACTTCTTCTTGCGGCAATTGACAGCACGGGGATGCAGGCAAGCATAACACTTGCGGCAGATCATCTTGTCGCAGTTGTATTTCTGGGCGAGCCGACGCAAGGAAGGCTCAATAATGCCACCACGGAGACGCAGCACCAGATGCAGGGTGGACTCTTTCTGGATGTTGTAGTCTGAGAGTGTACGGCCATCCTCTAGTTGTTTGCCCGCAAATATCAGACGTTGCTGGTCAGGAGGGATGCACTGCCCCTTCTACGGGCCTCTGGTACTGTGCTAAAATCCTAAAGATATGCGGTTCAAACCCACCAGTTGCTCCATAGGAAAAGGATGAGCAATCTCCCACTGTGGAATTAACTGCCTGTGAAAACCCTCTGGTGGATCAGCTATGAATCTATTCCAATTCGAAGGCACACAACAACACTATATTCAGAATATTAGTATCTATAAAAGGATTAGTTGCAAAAATATTTACATCTATTTTGGTTGAATAAGATCTGTGGGTCTTAATGTTTCTTAAGGAAATTACAAGTAAAATTTAGGTATATAATGACATTTTATCTGATTCAACTTCCTAGCAACTATACTGATTTTTTTTTTTTAATATAAATGTAAAGGGCCTCCCCACAGTACTAGAAGTCAACATGATGATAGATGAATGGAGAAAGTTTTGAAGTTGTCAATGATCTCATCTTCCTCATATCAACAATAACACTCTTGGTATCAGCAGTTTAAAAAATCAGAAGAATATTGCATTGGGCAAGTCTGCTGTCAGGGAACTCTCCAAAATGCTGAGGACCAATGATGTCAGTTTGAAAACTAAGGTGTGCCTGATTCAGGCTATGGTGTTCTCAATCATCTGCTACACATCAGAGAACTGGACAATGACTAAGGATAACAGAAAAAGAACTGATGTCTTTGAGATGTGTATTAAGAAGAGTATTGAATATATCATGGGCTGTCAAAAAACCAAACAGATATGTCTTAGAGAAAGTACATGCAAAGTGCGTCTCAGAGGCAAGGATGGTGAAGCTTAGATATTCATACTTTGGACACCCAACTAGGTGAGGTTATTCCTTGGAAGGAGACATCATCATACTTGGAAAAGTGAAGGGTCATCAAAGGAGAGGAGAAGGCTCAGAAGACTGTGACCTCAGCACATGACTACGAGTGACTTTAAGCTCTTGGCTTGAGTGAGTCGGAGATGATGAAAATGGTTCAGGATATGGCAGGGTTCAGGTTACCTGTTCATTGAGTCATTATAAGTCATACTTGATGACACCTAACACTACCATCACAGTAGAAGTATAATCCATTATAAATGCCAGTTTTCCACTTCACAGACGTATTTAAAGGAGAATAGGGCAATTATCTTAGATCTCATCAATATACATTCCCAGCACCTTGGACAGTGCTGGGCACCCAACAGACACTTAATATGAATTTTGGGATAAGTAGCTACAAGAATGATTTTATTGTGATACAGTCTTTGTGTTACACACCACTGGAGATGTTAATCACCATAGATCTTTTGTTTCAGTATAATAATGCTGCTGTTATTCAAAGTTTCTAAAGTATTTTCATTTTTTTAAATGCAAGATGTTACACTTGGAAAGTAAAATCTCTTGCACTAAAATTGGTGCTAGCATAAACAATTGTTATTTCAAGATACTACTAGCCTCCTTTTACCGTCTCAATGTAAAAGAAACTGGCATCCAAAGCAGTGCTTATTTTTATTTTCATTTTCAAGATTATAATGGAATTCGTAGGGGCAGCTGTAAATTTCCCTTAAAAATTGTAGGAAGAGGGGACTTGAGGGCCGAAGAGAACTCTCTAGTTAAATTGAAAAATACTATGACCGTGGAGCAATATGAACCAGTGTAAATTGCAAAGATATATATTAATTCCCTTATTAAAGTTATATTGTATCCATCCATACACACACTCTTCCTGGTTCCTGTTACCTACATGCATTTAAATCAAGATTATCAATTCCAGCAATTGTTCCATGTCTTCACAGTTGAGCTTGAAACTCAATCAAAGAGGGAAGAATACGTACCCAGGGCAAACAGGTCTGCAAACAGTCTCTGCAAAGGGATATTTACTGTTTGCATGAAAGTAGTTGGGGCTTCTCAACAACCCTTTGTCTGTGGAGTGGTGCATCTGGCAACCATTCTCTCCTATTGAAAGCTACGTCTGAAGACTCCGCCCGGGTTGGGGGTGGGGAGCGAGCACCGCGTGGAGAGCTGAGAATTAAAGTGAGTGAACAAAGAGAACCCCCAGCGCCTCGCTGCTGCATCTGGAGAGGTCAGTCACACTGGAATCCTGTTCGAATCCGCCTCCCTGGAGGGGGAATAAAAAAGCTCAAGTAAATAATTGATGGAAAGCAATCCTACCCAGGAGAAAGCTTTGCAGAACCGGTACTTCCGATTGCAAGCGGCTTTGAACGCGTCTGCCAAGTGCTGAATGTGAGAGCAGAGTAAAGAGGTGGAGCGTGCCTGTAGCTCTTGCATCTTGGGCGTGGCTCTGGCCTTTTTGTCTTCTTGCCCGCCCCCTCCCTCTTCTCTCTTCAAAGTAATCTCTTTGGTTACTTCTCCAGGGTCCTCCCTTGATGTCCCGCCCCTCCACTGCCCAGGCTGGTGAGGTCAGCTCATGAATATCACTGCACTTCCTGGGGAGAGTCTGGCACAGCTTGGTACCCCGCGGGTTTACCCACTCAGAGCTGCAAACACAGCCCAGCAGTGGATCCGATCGCCGGGAAGCAACGCGCGCGCGCTGGGAATCTCTGCAAGCTGTTCTAAGCGCCTTTGTCTGGAGAAATCCCGTTGTGTATAGACGTCGGGTGAGCTGCCCCAAAGTCGTGCTCTGCCACAAAGTTGCAGCTAAGACGAGGTTGAACTTTTCCTGATTTCTGGAAAAAACAAATCCTGAGGTCCTCAGAAGATCAAAAGGAAAGCGCTCATTTGTCTCAACTTCTAAACATCTCTTCTGCAGAGAAGTGAGCAATTCTGGATTTCTACAGGGATGAGGCTGAAAGAGGGGATGGGTTCAAGGAGCATATAAAAGCTGAGTTTTAGAGTGCTGATTTGGACCCGAATGGGGTTGCAGGAGGTGATGCTCCCGGGGGAAGAGACAGAGGATCTTGTCACTTTGTAAAGACCACATGACAGCTGCCAGGTACCTTCTTTGATGGTGGAGATGAGATTCAACTATGTGAACTTTCTCCTGGGTAAAAGGTGCTTGGGGATTTGTGCTTCCTGTATCCCAGCTCCAAGGTGATTCTGCCTAATTAGAAATAAAAATAAGGCTGCATGATATTATACCTTGTCTGGGTAGCTCTGCTTGGTGGAGTTCATTAGGATCTTGGCTTGGCGTTCACAGGGCTATGTGTCCTAACTTTTCTCCCCTTTGTTTTCTTAGCGTCTTCTTTGTTCTCTCCTTTCTTTTCCAAAGTGAGTTGGAAGGAGGTCAAGAAGAGAGAATGAGAGGTAGGAGGGTGCCCTTTGACAATATTTATTTATAAAGTGAGAATTTACTGCATGCTGACTAAGTTATGATACTTAAAAAAGATGTTAACATGAATAATGCGGGTAAAGTGAACGGTAGACATTTCCTCTCTGGACATAATTTTTTAAAAACAGATCATTCTGCCTAGTCATGCTATTTTCTCTCCCAGTTCCTTAGAGAAAAAAAAGAATATTTTAAAGGGAAAAGTTTCTATTTGGGTAAGTGGCTAGAACATTGGAGAGTAGAAACCATGAGGAAATGCCTAGCTGTTTTCCTGAGTAAATAAACCATGGGTTTGTGATGCATTTATCTTGAAAGAAGATACAATGGAGATTTACCTTCCTGATAGGAAGGAGGATGCATCAACCTTCTGGGTGTAGTCTTATTCTATGTTGTAGGCTATATGAGGAAATAGTTATTTTAGAAATACCACAGAGCCTATATCAAAAACACTTCAAAAGAGGACGCTTATGAATGAAGATATTTAAGTATCTATCAGATCCATAGCCACTATGACATTCACTAAATACAGAAAGAAACCATCCTCTGTAGCATTAGAAACAGCAGACTATTAACTTTTCTGTGAGTATTTTAAAAAAATTTATTTACCAAATCTTAAAAAATAATCCCTTTATGGCTGTGACTAATACAGGTGATTCTTAATGGCATTATTTTCTTAAATCTGAGGTTGCTTTCATTACAGTCGTTCACAGTTGATATTTTGATTAAATTCTAGTTTAAAGAAAAGTACTTAACAAAAGGTAGCATTAGATACTTGGAGCTGTGAGAAAAGTGCCTCTTTAAGCCATAGAAAATTTTTCTATAGGAACCTGAACCATAACCATTTTTCTCTCATTGACACTTGGGAGTACTATTAAAGCTTTCTCCATTTTATTGGCCTTTATATGCACCTTGGATGCTGAAGAGAACCAAAGTAGAAAAAACAAACAAAAAACCCCCAAAACCAACCCATCTGATAAACCCATCAGGTGGCATCCCTTTTTCCTTTTGAAAGCTTCTTTCACTTCTTTTCATAAATTCCTTGCTGATTTTTATCTCACTCTTTCCACAACCTAGTACTGAGAGAGTATTTTGGGTTCAGCAGCTTTCATTCAGATTTGTCATTTTACTGAGAAGGTGTGAGATGGAGACAGCGCCTCTCCGGGTAAAATGAGAAATGACAGCTCTTCATTCTATTCCTAGAGGCAAGGCTTTTTCTCTCAAGAGCAAAGCTGCTCTAAGGCGTTTTGAAATCTTATCCTTTCCCAGGGCTTCTCTTGTACAGCAAAATCATCCTCTGCTCTATTAACTAACAATGCAGACATGCCATGTACTTCCTCTCTTTTGTCTCTGTGCCAGCTTAGAAACGAAGGTCTGTAGGCACGAGGAGGGAAGATGACCTGGTAATGGACCATTCCAAAGGCTTCCTACACGACCATGAGTCAGCCACCGACCGGGGGCGCTACGCCTGCCCCTTCGGGCGCCGCCGCTGCCACGGAGGCCCGCCTGCACCCGGAGGGCAGTAGCAGAAAGCAGCAGCGGGCGCAGTCCCCCGCCAGGCCGAGGGACAGTTCGTCCCGGCAGACCGGCACGGCCATCCGGTCCCCGGTGGGGGCAGGCACGAAACTCAATTCTGTCCGGCAGCAACAACTGCAGCTGCAGCAGCAGCAGCAGCAGCAAAGCAACAAGACCGGGAGCCGAGCTGCGCCTACGACCAGCACGCGGGCAGGCGGAGGCGGGGCTGAGAAGGCGGCGACTCAGGCGCCCAAAGGCGCCGGATCCGGAGCTGTCCAACCTGCGGCTGGTGCTGAAGCTCTACCCGCCGCGCCCCTGGCCGCTGTGGGCGGCAGGAGGCCAGGTCAGCCGGAAGAGTCGCCCCGCGAGCTAGAATCAGTGCCTTCTAAACTCGGGGAACCCCCTCCGGCCCGGGAAGGAGGAGGAGGGGGAGGAGCCGGCGGAGGCCCGGGAGAAAGGGAGGGGGGCGCGCCGCCGCCGCCCAGGGGCTGGCGAGGGAAAGGCGTGCGCGCTGCGCAGAGGGGCGGCAGCGCCGGGGAGGAGGCCTCCCCTTCCCCGTCCTCCTCTTCTGCGGCCAAAGCCCCGGGTCCCAGCGGCAGAAACCTCGGCGGCAACGTCGCAGGGGGCGCCAGCAGCGGCGGAGCGAGCTACTGGAAGGAAGGATGTCTGCAGTCTGAGCTCATCCAGTTTCACCTGAAGAAGGAGCGGGCGGCGGCGGCGGCCGCCGCGGCTCAGATGCACACTAAGAACGGCGGCGGCGGCAGTCACAGCCGCGGCTCGCCGGTCACCGGCGCCACTGTCGTTTGCGAGCCTCTGGCCGTGCCGTCCGCCTCTCCAATGGCGGCGGCGGCCGAGGGCCCCCAGCAGAGTGCGGAGGGCAGCGCCAGCGGCGGGAGCATGCAGGCAGCGGCGCCCCCTTCATCGCAGCCGCACCCGCAGCAGCTGCAGGAGCAAGAAGACATGCAGGAGGAGATGGAGAAGCTTCGGGAGGAGAACGAGACTCTCAAGGTGAGGAAGGTGAAGGGAGCCGGGTGGGGGAAGGGAGGCGTGGGCCTTGGGGAGCAGGGCGTGTCCGCGGTGGACGCCCTGGCTAAACTGTTGCAGAGCTTTAATGAGGAAGGGGAGCAGGCAAGAAGGAAGGGAGCTTCCAAGGCCTTTTCCAGGGCTCAGAATCTGGTCAGTAGCGTTCGATTTTAACTGAATACCAAATCGAGGCCTTCCCTCTCGATATCATGGTTTTGCCCACATTTTCATGGAAGAAGCTAGCGTGAGAGCGAGAGCAGGCCTAAAGCAGGCCTCTTTTCCCAGTTTTCATCTCCTTCACTCAGCTCCTTGCCATGTCTGTCTCTTGGAGAGGAGGGGAGTGAGGCTGAAAATTTGGAGCTGGGATGGGGTGTGTCCAGTGTGTCGGAGGGACTTGGGGACGAAGCTGATTTTGATCCAAGGCCTGTCACCGCCTCAGAACGAGATCGATGAGCTGAGGACCGAAATGGATGAGATGAGGGACACTTTCTTCGAGGAGGATGCCTGTCAGCTGCAGGAAATGCGCCACGAGTTGGAGAGAGCCAACAAAAACTGCCGGATCCTGCAGTACCGCCTCCGCAAAGCCGAGCGCAAGAGGCTCCGCTACGCGCAGACCGGCGAAATCGATGGGGAGTTGCTGCGCAGCCTGGAGCAGGACCTCAAGGTCTGCGCGGGGGCTCGGGGTTCAAGGGTGGGAAGCAGGGCGGTGGGTGGGGAACCTGGTCAAGATGTCATAGTATTGAAGGGCCTGTAGTGGGACCTGCAGTTTCTCTGTGCTGTGAAATGCCAGACTCCCCCGAAGGGGCAGCACAGACAGGTGGGTTTGAGCAGCCCTGTATGTGGAGGCCTTGAGGCAAAGAGAGCCTAGCTTGGAGATCCAGAGCTGGTGGGAGGAGGGCGTCACCTCCCGAGACAGAAACAAAGGCTAGGCAGGCATTGGCCTTGACCTAGTCACCCTCACCAGTTTTCCAAGGAGATTCAAGTACTCAAGGGCAGCGTGTTGAAGGTTTCTCAATGATTCTAGGACCCAGAATAGCAACAGAACAAATAGCAGAATTAGGATTTCTCTCAAGTGACTCCCCAATTCCCCTTTTCCCAGATCCCTTTCTTTATTTAAAAGCTGGGAGATTGCCATAAATCAAAGACCCTCATTTTTTTTTTTTTAAATGGAATACTTCTTTAGAAACTTCCCTAATGGAGAAACCTTAACCCTGGAATGCAGGTGTCTTGGGTTTTTTTCTCCAATGTGATCTGTTTCAGTTTGACCACAAGCTGATTCATTCCCAAGGCAAACTAGATATTATATTTGTTGCCGTAAACAACCGATTAAGTTATTGAATAATGCAATTTTAATTGTATTAACCACATCAGAACATGAAAACCAAACATAATTATTGTCTACTTGGCTTTAAAGAAAGCTATGGAGGGGAAAAATATATAAAAACCATTGAATGATTTATTTATATTTTCCTACAGCAAGCATGATGAAATGCATTATTAGTATGTTATAGTTTCATTTAGTTCACATGAATAAAAAATTTATTTCAGTTATAGATTAGAGAATTTCTTTAAGGTAGCGATTAAAGAGCTCTGGTGGCTTGGTGAAGAGCCTGCGTGCTGCAATCCCAAAGACAAGCAGTTTGGTTCAAATCCACAGTCTGCTCCATGGGAGATGGATCAACAATCTCCTCCTGTGCAATTTACTGCCTCTCAAAACCCACTGGACTATGAGTTGTTAATGACACACTATGAGTTATTCTACTCAGTGACACAATAAGATATTATTAACATAATTTGCAGATGAAGACACTGGCTCTTCTACAGAATTTAGAACAACCATACAGGAGGCCAGATTTAGCAATTTAACAAGTTAGTCCTGGACCTTTCACACTATTAGACAGTTTCACTTCTTTACCAGATTCTGAAACTTCCAAAGATAAGCATAAAACATGAAACAAAAGGGCACATTGTCATTTAAAAAAGAAAAAAGCCCAAGATTAAGATTTTTCCTAAAGTTAAGAACCTAGAATTCAATTTATAAAATAGAAATTCAAGTCCACCAATTTGGACTAGAAAGCTCTTATTTTTCGCTCATTAGAATTGGTAACAATGGAAATGTTCCTTTTATAAGGTTGTATTGGAATTAGAAAGGGTGAGTAAAATTCTGCATACGTGATAAAACCCAATCTATGGTCAAGATGTAATAATGGAAGTATCCTTCCTGTAGGGTTGTTTTGGAATGATAAAGCATAATAGAACATTTATAATTATGGTTTAGTATAGAGATTAAAGTCTAGAGCCACTTGTTAGCTTGAGCAGGTTGCTTTATATCTCCAAGGTTTAAGTTTTATCACCCATAAAATAAGAAGGAATGTAGTACTGATGGAATTATTTTGAGGATTTTATATATATATATTCATTAATGCAAAGACTGCTGCCTGGCATATGGCAAGAACTAAGTAACTATTAGCTCTTAAAGCCTTCTATTTTGGTTTGCTTACTATATTGTCACTTACTATATTTTATTGTTACAAACATTTTCATTTAGGTTGCAAAGGATGTATCTGTGAGACTCCACCATGAACTGGAAAATGTGGAAGAAAAGAGAACAACAACAGAAGATGAAAATGAGAAACTGAGGCAACAACTTATAGAAGTTGAGATTGCAAAGCAAGCATTACAGAATGAACTGGAAAAAATGAAAGAGGTTAGTATTCATCTATCATATGGCATGCTATGTATTTTTGCAATACCCGTGAGGTAATATGATTATTGAAATAAATCCTTTTTTTTTTCATGACTATGTGACAATTTTTTTTCCTTACCAAATAGAATAATGAACACATAGTTTCAAACTGAAAAGGAATAGTAAAGATGGTCCACTTGATCTGTGTTTGTTAACTCTTTTTTTCTATGGGCTATGTAGATAAGTTGTAACTGATTTTTAGTCATGTGTTATTTTAATTTTTTGTTAATTAAATAAATGACACAGCCACAGAAAACACAAAGAGTGTTAAGGGTATAAAGAGATAAGCCTTGAGTTAGTTCAGGGGAAGAGTTAGCCCTGTCACAGACTTAGGATGAAAGGCTAATCTAATTCATTTGTTGCTGGATTCCTACCTTAACTAGTCTCTCAAATGGTCAAATGCTTATATCACTAATGACTAACCCTTAAGATATTTTGTAGTAACTCACATTGGATAGCATTGCTCTGTTTAAAGGATTTCTTTGCGTTCATCTATTTAATTGCTTTAACCAGATTATTGTAGTCGTATTCTTCAGAGTTTTCTTCTACATCAAATATTTCAAGCTTTCCACCAGCAAAAATCAGAATCAAGACCAAAGGAAATAAATAATAAACAAAGGATTTGTGGATAAATAATTAGCATTTTAATAAATATCAACTTAATTTGAATTAAAATAACCTTTTCTTATTTGTTAATGGCAAAGAGGACATTCATCTTCTCCTTGGAGTTACTGTTCTTCATTGGAGTGTACAGCAGTGGAAGTATAAAAATTTGAAAAGTACATATGCAAACAACAAACTTTTAAAGTAAACTTTTCTTAGGAAGATGAGTTCTAATATACATTTATCATGAGTGGTAGTGGGAAAGAAACAGTAATAGAGAGGATGGGAGAAAGGATAGATTCCACAGAGATTTTAAATGTAATAAAGGAAAAGTGAAAAATATTGGGGGGACTGCTCCATCTATTTTAAGTTAACTTTCATAGAATTCAGAAAAGTATCAGAAATAAGAAAAGGAGTTTAAAAATTTTAAATTCAGGATTGTGTCCTTTAAATTTTCTTTTGCTAAGTACCTTTTTATCCTCAATGAAGATAAATAGAATTACAATAGTAACTGGCTAGTTTTGAGGCAGAGACTGTGAACTTGATTCTTGCCTTATCCTGTGTGACTCTTAGAAGCCTTAGTGAGTCCTCTTAATATCTTGGTTATAAAGTAAAAATATGTTCGGGTCCTTGATGAATGCCAACAACAAAATATCAGCCATTTGTCACCTTCCACTAGTGCAGAGACTAGAACTAGGCCATGTTTTTCTTTATGAAGATATAACACCATAAATTATGGAATAAAATTGTTAAATAGAATATTTAGGAGAAGCAACACTCCAATTACCAGATTTTAGTTCATTATGTGAAGTCATAGAGACATCGAATAGCACCACGGGGACCAATAGACCATCTGCTAGAATTTAAAATTGGTTTATTAAGGATGTTGCTGACTTCAAGGGTATTGATCAATTATTCTCTTAGCTGGTGACTACAGAGGGTTCTATATACCTTCTCACATCCATCTACTTACCTTCTCCTCTTAAAGACTATGGAGTGAGCACCTGGGACTCAGGTGAGCAGAGGCATATTGAAGGTAATTAGTTACATCTACTGCAACTAATTGCTAGTATTGACACAGCTGGCATTCTGCCAGTTGCAAACAAGAAAGACTTGGTATATTCTATTAAAAATCTTAATGATATTTTCTCATAGATTATAAAACATTGATTCCTATTTGCTAAGGAAAATCCCTTTACCTTTACGTAACATGGGGCAAATAATAATCTTTCTTGCAGTGTCACAGAGATATAGGTTATTGTAGAAGTTATTATTACATGGAAATAACAAGTAGCTTTTTGAGTAAGTGACAGGTTAAAGTGAAAATAGATTACATAAGGATCTAAGAAGATCCTTGATAGAGTATACACTCTGTGAAGGATGTTGTATCCTTTTATGATGTTCTACTGTTGATTTTTCAGAGCTCTGAAAGCCATGTGCTTCAGAATAAAGAAATCTTTTCATATTAATTTTAAGGTGTGGCACTTTTAGAAGCATTAATGATATACATTTGAGCAAATAAATCAGCGCTAGAGGAAATTTGAAGATGGAAAAGAAAAAAATAATTGAGTATGATGATAAGAAGAGCTATTTATTAGATCTTTCTATCTTTAGAAACTATACTCTTTGTGTTCCTCATTCCTTTCTTGTCAAAAGAGCAAAAAGTGGGACATGGAGGAACAGGGCTGTGAACATCTCTCTGAAAGGGCCAGAAGGAGTGAGAATAGCATAGCCCCTCACTCCCCTAGAGGAGAAAGCAGCTAAAAAGCCCATAGCCCAGCCCCAGGGTGCCTCTAGAGTCACACCAGCAGCCAGAGGTTTGTTTCTTTATTATTGACTCACAGACTGTGGTACTGAGAGTGGGGTTACTTAGGGAAGTAATTTGGAGAGTGCAGTGGGTAAAGAATTTCAGCCAGTGCAACTCTAGGTTTTAGCCCAGCAGCATAATTCCTCAATTGGTCTAGGCTCTCATTTCAGTTCAGCAGTCAGCTTTTTCTTCCATCATCCAGCAAGAATAACAAAACCTTTTAGCTACGACCTTTACCTCAGGGCTCCTCTAGTTACACCTTGCCACCATCTCTCCACAGCAATGCCACAGTCCCTCCACCACCATCACTTCTAGGATACTGCTCTTACCATGATCTGGCTCTCCCAAAGGTCTTATTCCAGTCTCTCAAATCGTGCTACTCAGTGTAGGAAGCACTCTCTCTTTTATCCTACTCACACAGTTGTTCATGATTTGCAAGACCATGTGTTTCCTGTTAAGGTATCTGGAGACCAGAGGAGGCTAATACTAACTTTTAAGTCAACATCACATCACCTAACACAGTCTTAAAGGAAATCAATTTTTCTTAACTTTTCCCATTCTTAAATAAACTATTGCAATTGTGCTACCTTGCAACTTTCATTTTTATTTTCTGTCAAGAAAACAAAGATTCTCACCACTGGGTCAATTGGCAGCATCAGTATGGATGGTGAAGAGATTGAGATAGTTAACAGTTTACTTGGCTCCACAATCAACACTCTTGGTGCCAGCAGCAGGAAATCAAGAGAAGAATTGCGTTGGGAAAGTCAGCTGTGAAGGACCTCCCAAGAGTACTGAAGTGCAACGACGTCAGGCTAGAGACTAAGGTGCTCCTGATCCAGGCTATAGCCTTTGCTATTACGTGCTATGCATCAGAGAGTTGGACAGTGAATAGGGATGATAGAAAGAGAATTGATGCCTTTGAGTTGTGGTGCTGGAGAAGAGTGTTGAATATACCATGGACTGTTGGGAGAACAAACAGGTTTGTCCTGGAGAGGGTGAAGCCAGAATATTCACTGGAGTCAAGGATTCTGAAGCTTTGTCTGACATACTTTGGGCATGTTACTGGTCCTTGGAGAGGGACATCATGTTTCGGAGAGTTGAGGGATGGCACAGGAGAGGAAGACCCTTGATGAGATGGACTGATTCTATGAGTGGAGTGGTGGGAATGAATGTGTTTGAGACAGCAAGGTTGGCACAGGATAGAACGGTGTTTCGGGCTCTTGTACACAGAGTCGCTATGAGTTGCAAATGACTCAGTGGCATATAACAACAACAACATACCCTTTTATTATAATGTACTTTCAGCCTAGAACACAAAAATAATTAGTACTATAAATTTGCACAAGTAATATCCGTAGTTTTTTTAAAGAATGCATTTCAAGTATATCTATATAGGCACATTCTCCTTTCAGATAGAACATTTTAATAAATAAATGCTTACCCTGTCTAATATTTTATTTCAATAAGATTTTAATTTTGTAGTACTTTAGTTACAAAGTTTGTATACATTGTTTTCACACCATATCTTTCCCATTTCCTTTACCCACCTCTCCCTCTACCCATCAAATTGTGAGACCCTGATTAACCACCCCTCATTTCCAATCCCTCTGCTCCCCACCCCCCCTTGGATCCTTACACACGTTCTATAATAATTGTCTTACCCAGTATATTTACAGTTATCTCATTGTCATCTTATACAAAATAAGTAACTCATCATAACTACACTTAATTTTGAGAGGGTTTGTTTATCTATGTTATAGAAAGTAACAAAGATACATTAAATGATAATTAGTGAAGGAGCAGCTTAAAAGTTAATTTTAATAAGTGACTTCTTTGTCATTTTAATTCTTTCTCTGGTTCTATTTGTAATTTGAAAATGGAACATTGGCCATTAGTATTTTAAAGTGAAATTACAATGAATACTTTAAAATACATCCAATAAAACTGTTACTTTATATATTTGAAAAAAATTCAGATATTTGTTTTCTACATGCTCCCATCAGCCACAAAAATACCAGCCAATAAGACAACATGTTGGAACACAGCGGAATAGATAAAGGATCCCTTGCTTGTACTATAAGTTCTACCTCTACTTTCTGGACTAACATGTTTTGTTTCTATGTGATTTCTGGGAGTATTTTGTTTCTTATTTTGACCATATGGGAAAAAATTTGCATGTGTGATTAAGGATTTTGAAATAGGAAGATTATCTAGAATCGTGGGAATGAGTCATTATTGTATTCACAGGTGCCATTATGAGAAGGAGACAAAATTTTACCATAGAGGAAAAGGGTTTGACTTTTAAGATAAAGGGCCATCAGGGAGCTTTGGTGGCTTAACGGTCACAAAGCTACGTGGTTGGAATCCACCAACTGCGATTTACTGCCTCTGAAAGCCTGTTGATAAGTCAGCTGCAGGTTAGTTCCAATTTCACAGTAAACAACAACAAAGGGTCATGAGCTAGAAATCCATTTTTAAAAGTTGACCAAAAAAGAGAATAGAGTTTCCTAAGTGAAGGTGGCCCTGTGGAGAGTTAGGTTTGGATCTAAAG